CGCCCCACACGTTAGGGGCCGTCCATAAATGACGTCACGCACCTAGGAGGGGGGGGGGGGGTCAGACATTTGTGATGATGTGTGACGATGGGGGGGGGGGGGGTTGAGAAATGTCACGTCACATCAAAATGCGCAACTTTAAATAAATATAGACAACACGTTCTACTTAATTAAATATACTTTTTAATAAATGCTTCCTCCTACAACATCAGAGTGCAGCGCCACATTAAATACGCACTACAATGACAATAGTTTAAAGCGATTTGAAGCATGTTTTTTTTTTTTTGGGGGGGGGGGGTCAGAGCTTTGTGACGTCATATTTGAGGAGGGATCTGACGTTTTGTGACGCCGTGTGACGAAGGAGGGGGGGGGGTCTAAACTACTCCAAAATCGCGTGACGTCATTTATGGACGGCCCCTTCGCACACCTCAACATAATACCACAACCACGTTGAACACGTATCTGCCCATGGTGTTCCGTTTTGTGTGCGTTTAATTTCATCGTACACGCGAAACTGTATAGCCACCAAGTGACTCACACACACGTACATGCATAAAGAGACTCGGGTGTTGTAGGAGTGGGGCTCAGAGGTGTGACCAGGAGATGTAAGTTGCTGTTTGTCACCTTACATACAGCGCGGTCTTCTTGCCCTAACACTTCTTCAGGAACTGCTGATGTTTTTTTGCACAATAGAATTGGCCGAACGCATACACCTGCCAACCACTCACTAATGGAATTTGACCAAAATCTCTCAATGCGCGTTCCTCTTTGAAACAGTCTTGAGACTCAGCGGGGCTAACTAGGGTAAACATGAATTGCTATTCATAATCAACGTTTTTGGGTTTAGATCGCGTTATTTATAAATGTGTCGTAACTCTCCACCACCCGACACGGCCAATCAGTAAAAAAGTGTCACGTTGACAAAAGACAAATAGTTAACGTGACACTTTTTTACTGATTGGCCGTGTCGGGTGGTGGAGGGTTACGACACATTTATAAATAACGCGATCTAAACCCAAAAACGTTGATTATGAATAATATTGGTCGCGAAAGCCTACGTGTTAAACTGATGAATTGCTATGATTGTTATTGACATAGATGTCCAAGAAGGTGCAGGCAACGTGCCTCTCCGCTCTCATTCAGAGAGCAAATTCACACGAGCCGCGTCAACACCTCTCACACACATCACAATCTCGTGTGCACACTCGCATACACGTGAAAACACACACACACACACAAACTCCCACAAGCACACACGTGCATTCGCTGAACACATAAGCACACACGTTAAAACACACACCACACATACACCACGCATACACCACACATACACCACACATACACAGACACTCCCGTGTATTCACTAAACAAAGTCATAGATCCCCCTTATAGCCTTGATGGATTATTTCGGGGCAAGTTCTGTTAGCGTGCACCGATTAAGGCCAGCGCCACGCCCGGCCGCATTTGTCTCCCCAGTGGCGATGTTTACACATCTCACAGGTACTCATTTGAGGCTGATTGGACCTAGGGGAGGCCCAGGACCAGTTCAGATAATCGTCACTGGTGTTGGCCGTGAGCGGGAATCGAACCCGGGTCGCCGGGTTCGTAGCGCATCGCGCTAACTGCTACACTACCGCTCCCCACCACACGCACGCACACACACACAGACACACACACAGACACACACACAAACACACACACAGACATACACAGACACACACACACAAACACACGCACTCCTCCTTAATTCGTGCATTAATTGCACGTGCATTCACGGCCACTACCTCCATATTCACTCACACGGGTTCACTGTTTAAATCGAGCAGCAGTGCAATGCTGTTTGGGGACATTGAACACGCAAACCAATCCACCCCGCACCCTCCTCCCCTTTGATTTGTGCATTCATCATTTGTGTGTACGCACATCCCATCCGTACGCTCTCTCACACACATACATCTCTCCGTTTTAACACAGTGGTCATATTGTCGAGGTCAAGTCGTGTTAGCGAGCACCGGATTTTCAGCGAACACAGCACACAGCCAGGCACATATTGTGCAGTCATTGGAGACACCCACACAAAATACAAAGATCCCCCGTTTCACCTGAACAGACTGTTGGGGCAAGTGCTGTTAGCGAGCACCTATGAAGGCCGGAACGGTACACAAGGGGTGGGTGGCCAGCACCACGCTCGACCGCCTTTGTCTCCCCAGTGGCGATGTTTACACATCGCACCAGGTACTCATTTGAGGCTGAGTCGACCTAGGGGAGGCCCAGGACCGGTTCAGATAATCGTCACTGGTGTTTCCCGTGAGCGGGAATCGATCCCAGGTCGCCAGGTTCGTCGTGCAGCGCGCTAACCGCTACACTACCGCTCCCCCCGACATCGGACACACGCACACACCCGCCCACGCTTGAACACATACGCATCGCACACACACACACCACTGATCGTGCAGTGCTTGACAAAGACAAAGATCCCCCGTGTGGCCGATACAGACTGTTTGGGGCAAGTGCTGTTAGCGAGCACCCTACGAAGGCAAGGAACTGTGCACGAGGTGGTGGGTGGCCAGAACCACGCCCGGCCGCCTTTGTCTCCCCAGTTCTGATGTTGACACCAAAACCAGGTTTCTCATTACGGCTGAGCCGAAGACACACGCGCACTGACACACGCGCGCACACGTTTAAAGACATCACACGCACATGCGCTTCCACCCACGTTTAAACACACATCACACACTGATCATGCAGTGATTTAACACACACGTATCGAACACTGGACACACACACATCACACTTATCTTGCAGTGATTGAACACACACACTACACACACTGATCGTGCAGTGATTTAACACATGCGCGCGTGCACATAAAGACAAAGATCCCCCGTGTAGCCTGTAAAAGACTAGGGGCAAGTGCTGTTAAGCGAGAAGGCCGACACGGCACGCGAGGGGGTGGGTGGCCAGCACCACGCCCGTCCGCCTTTGTCTCCCCGGTGGCGATGTTTACACAGCGCCCCAGGAACTCATGTTGAGGCTGAGTCGATCTAGGGGAGGCGCAGGACCGGTTCAGATAATTCATCACCGGTAGTTGGCCGTGAGCGGGAATCGAACCCGGATCGATGGGTTCGTAGCGCAGCGTGGAGCTAACCGCTCCCCAAACGCACGTACACACGCCCCATCACACACACGCACGCCCCATCACGCACACGCACGCTCCATCACACACACACACGCCCCATCACACACACACACGCTCCATCACACACACACACGCCCCATCACACACACCCACACGCACGCTCCATCACACACACACGCCCCATCACACACACACACGCTCCATCACACACACACACACGCACGCTCCATCACACACACACGCACGCTCCATCACACACACACGCACGCACGCTCCATCACACACACACGCACGCTCCATCACACACACACACACACACGCCCCATCACACACACACACACGCACGCCCCATCACACACACACACACGCACGCCCCATCACACACACACGCTCCATCACACACACACGCTCCATCACACACACACACACACACGCTCCATCACACACACCCACACGCACGCTCCATCACACACACACACACACGCTCCATCACACACACACACGCACGCTCCATCACACACACCCACACGCCCCATCACACACACACACACGCTCCATCACACACACACGCTCCATCACACACACACACACGCACGCCCCATCACACACACCCACACGCACGCTCCATCACACACACGCACACGCTCCATCACACACACACGCCCCATCACACACACACACGCTCCATCACACACACGCACACGCTCCATCACACACACACACACGCCCCATCACACACACCCACACGCACGCTCCATCACACACACACACACACGCACGCTCCATCACACACACACACGCACGCCCCATCACACACACCCACACGCTCCATCACACACACGCACGCTCCATCACACACACACATGCACGTTCCATCACACACACACACACGCTCCATCACACACACACGCACGCTCCATCACACACACACACACGCACGCCCCATCACACACACACGCACGCCCCATCACACACACACACGCACGCTCCATCACACACGCACGCTCCATCACACACGCACGCACGCTCGATCACACACACACACTCCATCACACACACACGCTCAATCACACACACACTCCATCACACACACACACGCTCAAACACACACACACGCTCCATCACACACACACGCACGCACGCTCCATCACACACACACACGCACGCCCCATCACACACACACACACGCACGCTCCATCACATACACACGCACGCTCCATCACACACACACACGCACGCACGCCCCATCACACACACACACTCCATCACACACACACACACACTCCATCACACACACACACGCTCAATCACACACACACACACTCCATCACACACACACACACTCCATCACACACACACACACTCCATCACACACACACACACACTCCATCACACACACACACGCTCAATCACACACACACACACTCCATCACACACACACACGCTCAATCACACACACGCACGCTCCATCACACACACGCACGCTCCATCACACACACACGCACGCACGCTCCATCACACACACACACGCTCTATCACACACACGCACGCTCCATCACACACACGCACGCTCCATCACACACACACGCACGCACGCTCCATCACACACACACACTCCATCACACACACACACACGCTCAATCACACACACACACGCACGCTCCATCACACACGCACGCACGCTCCATCACACACACACACGCGCACGCTCCATCACACACACACACGCGCACGTGCGTTTCAGACGCACATCACAGAGGCGTATCGTGACTCCCCCTCCCCTGTGCACTCATTGGACGCTTACTTTGCTCTCTGGGCTTTCGTGTCGGCACCCCCCTCCAAGCACAACGAGCACGGTCGCTCGCTCGCTCACACACTCTCTCACACACACACACGCTCGCTCACACACTCTCACACACTCACACGCTCGCTCCTCACACTCTCACAAACACACACGCGCGCACAGGCAGAGGCGGGCAGTCCCCGCTGGTCTGCCAAAAGCTCTCCGTGCCTACGGAGGTGTGTGGGTGGATGAACACGAAGAAAGGAGAAGCGGCAGTGGCTTTTTTTGGGGGGAGTCGCGTTGGCAGCGGGAGTTGTACTGTTGTAGAATCACACACGCGCACGCACACACAGACGACAGCGACACAGGCGCCACGGGAAGACGGAGCGGCAAGAATTGAAATCGGAATCGGTTTGGAGGAGCAGGCAAGCGGCTTAAGCCCGGTCGCTTAGCGGCAACCGGTTTGGGTGTTGTGGGTTTGTGGCCCCAGGCAGTATATACAACAACCCCTTATACCGTGTGGCGACTGTCTAGGACGACGGGCGGTGCGGCGACAACGTCAATTAGAAATCTGCCTACGTTTAAAGGGACACGCGGTACGACGCGCTTTGAGAGAGGGACTTGAAAAGCACCGTGAGACGAGGACGAAGATGCGTGCGTCTCGCGTGAAAGCGAGGGATGGTGAACGTCGGCATTCCGCGATCGTTCCACTTTGCTGAGCTGTTGACAACCTCAGGAAGACATCTGCGTGGTTAGTAAAGAGTTGCCCCCCACCACCACCGCACCGCCCCAGCCTACTACCAATTAATTGGATAACATTTATTTTTTTTAAAGTAGACGGTGCGCGCACACGCACACAACCCGTACCGGGACCGCTCGTCGCAATGGGAAAAGATCAAGAGTTGATCCAGGCAGCCAAGAGCGGAGATGTGGCCGCGGTGCAGAAGATAATCAACAAGTATAAGGCCGGCAAAGCGAGTGAGTACTGACACCCCCCTCCCACCCCTCCTCCTCCTCCACACGTGGGTAAACATGCTTGGCGCGACTGCGGCGAACACGTGTGTGCCGCACGCACGGTCATCTGGGAGGTTATCATGATACGCAACATGCTTGACACGTGAGCTGGCTTTCGCGACCAATGTCATCCACGAGAGAGGTTTGTGTGTGCGTGTGTTTTCGGGTGAGATCGCGTAAATATATCAATGTGTGTCGTTAAACCCGCCACCACCCGACACAGCCAATTGGTAAGTGTTGTCACGTCAACAGAACGTGGCCAATTCGTTACTGGCACAGCAGACCACCGGTTGCGTGTCGGAGAGCCAAGCCACAACATTTACAATGCGAGTACGACGCTTCGCCAGTAGCGTCGTGTACAGATGCATTGATTGTGCATGCAGACGGACAGGCACGCAACGTATTATGCACGGATTCATTTCGCATGAAATATTTCCCGGTGGGTGAGGGAGAGGGGGACACACCCCCCCCCCTCTACCCTCATCCTTAACCCACCCTGGGGAGTTTTTCCGGAGCTCAGTCCCGGACAGCTCCCGGCTGAGTTAAAGCGCACGCACGCACTCCGCGTGTGTGTGTTGGTGGATGGCTGCAACACGCGTAGTGGTGCACGCGTACCACAACACGTGTGTGTGTGTGTGTGTTCGGTAGGGTTTCACAGGCAGTGTGCGCATGAGAAAGTGAAGTTTCGAGATTCCTGCGATGATAACTTCGCGGCGTGCGACGCTCGGTGAACATCTTCGAATCCGTTCATGTTGACAAGTTGCTCAGAATTCCCTCCTATGCGTGTATGATGCACACCACACACACACCCGCGTATCTGTGCACTCTCTGCGTTATTGACCGTCAGTGCGTGTCTCAACTCCGTTGGGCAATCGGTAGACATTTGAGATATCGCCTTGAACAGGCGACGTGAATGAATAAAGCAAAGAGGCCCTGCGTTGACAATAACAAGACTTGAATTCTGCGGGGTAATTCCCACAGATTCGTGCATACAGCGGCAGACTTTATAAGAGGCAACATTGGGCGCGCACAGTGCTATGAATAGTGTACAGTACATACCTTGAATGCACTCTGCGAACACACACAGCTGTATAACGCATCTGTGATGTGTACATATGCAGAGAGATGCATAATTGCTGCTTGTGTTTTAACGGGGGCTGTGCGATTGTGTCGATTCCCGTGCGTTATCGCGTTAATGACGCGTGGTGTTCGGCATGCTGTCCGACGTTTCGCTCCACGTGTTGGGAGCTACTTCAGGGAGCTGACGTTCCTGAAGGACACATCGGAGAGCTATACGCATACTTTACACACACACACACACACCTTATATATATACACACACACACCTTATTACACACACCTTATATATATACACACACACCTTATATATATATACACACCTTATATATACACGCATACACCTTATACACACACTTACACACAAACCTTATATACACACACCTTATACACACATACCTTATACACACACCTTATACACACATACCTTATACACACACACCGTATACACAAACATACACCTTATACATGAACCTTATACATAGACCTTACACACATACATCTTACACACACACCTTATATACACACACCTTACACACATACACCTTACACACATACACCTTACACACACATACACCTTACACACACACATACACCTTACACACACGCACCTTACACACACACCTTACACACACACACCTTACACACACACACCTTACACACACACACCTTACACACACACACCTTACACACACACACACCTTACACACACACCTTACACACACACCTTACACACACATACACCTTACACACACACAAGCCTTACACACACACACACCTTACACACACACACCTTACACACACACACCTTACACACACACAGGCAATGGGCATGCCAGGATGCACTGCTGCGCGTACTCCCAGTACTCCCAGTACCACAATGTGCTTCAGACTCACTGCCACACGTGCTGAACGCCAGCACGCACACACGCACCAGTGTGTGTGTGTGTGCTCGGCCCAGGGTGACAGCTCAGTGGACACGTGGCTCGGGTCGGTCAGCGTTGTTGGTCCGTCGGGACATCGTGCGCGTGTCCAAACGAAAAGGTTTGTGGGCTTAATCGGCGTCTCCTTAAACTGCCCCCACATGCACCGCACACGTGGTTTGGCGATGCCGCTGCTGCCGCTCCGTTGGCAGGGGGCACGATTTACGATGACAAAAATGAACACATTTGGTCAATAACACTGGCAAGGGACCTTTCTGATAGCGTGATTTTTTTTCAACGTGCAAATGAAGGAGGGCCCATTGCCCAAAACGTCGTTTATTGCATACGCGACATATTGCACGGTGGGATTTTTGGTGTATTACCTCGCTATGCAGTGTGAAGACTGCAACACGTTGTTTATGTTCAACAATTGCTTGGTTCGTGCCTTGACAATCACGCACATCGATAGCGCCGCTGTGTTCTCACAAAACTGAATATATCACAGTCGTTAGGCTGTCAACGTGGACACGGCGGCATGAATGGAGGACTAACGTGGAGGCGTACATACACACACGGATGGATGCACACACACACAACGTGGAGGTGAATGTTGATGGTTGCACTCACTCACCGTGCCATGCTGATGTTATAGCTGCCCGGCGGTCGTTCTCACCGTGTCCTGTCATGTTTAGCTGCCCCCTCCTGTTTGAAGGTTCTTTGGGATTTCGTTCATACGTGGTAGGTTGTGTTTCATCGCTTCCGAAACGCAAGACAAGCACCTTACCGAGCCAACCGCAGACAATTTTACTATTCCATGCGTCTCGCTGTGCTGCTAGCATCACGGTTAATAACGCTGTCTCCTTGTACGTCTGCTGCGCAGATTTTGTTGGGACGGCTCGTAGAGGGATGATGTCTGTGCCAGGGTACTGAGCCGTTATCTCAGAATTTAGGGGATTAAATTAGACTTTCAAAAGCGACAGAATGACGATGGGCTCATTCCGGTTTTAGCGGAGCCCAACACTGATGGATAAAATGTAAACATTGTGTGCCACTATATGGGCTCATTACCATTCTGTGAACTGACGTGCATGCCGCATAGGACACTGCCCGGCTAACTAAGACAATACACGTTGAAATAACTCACTTCAGAAGTAGTTTTGCGGTGTCATCTTCCAGGGCTGTTGACTGGCTGTTAACTCGACATGCCTGCATCACGACACGACTGTTATGACGCAATTGTAATTTGAAATTAAATACACACTTGCGTTTGCTCTGCTCCAGAGAAGGGTAATTGCCTTAAATATCAACATACTTATATATTTTGACACACGGCAGTGTAAATGACAAATGTGGTGAGCGATATTTATTTTTAATGTAAGAAAAACATGTTTTTGCGTGTACTGTATGGGCCTCTTCACCAAAATGCAAATGGTTAAATAAAGAAAGCAGCCTTAGTTTATGCACACACACACACAAACACATTCTCAGAAGCATTATTAGCAGTGTTGTTTTTGAAAGACAAAGCAATGTATTGGCTGCCAGGGTCGTGTGAATGTTGCTGACAATTATCGTGCAGCTCTTCTGGGATTGCAACCACTTTTCTGGAGGAGCCAGGGAGCAGAAGGATGGTGGAGAAAAAGATAAGTTAGGAGCCATAAATGCTTCAGAGATATCAAGATTATTCCACAGGACATTTTTTTCCAAAGCCACGTTAAAATTTGCATCTTGATGAAGGGAATTATAAGTACGATTTGTTTGACGGATTATATAGCACACCGATTTCCCCTGTATTTTAAAGCAAAAGTTATCAATCGGTCGGCGTGTGTGTATGTGACCAGATTCGTGTAACTTCATTGACACCTTGTACAAGTTTGTGATGTATCTCACATTGAGGTATTTTCCTCTTGCTTACACACTCCGATTAAGTCCGATGTGTTTTTGGGGGAAGTTTGGGTAATGTAAACGTACATGTAGAGCCATATATGCATGTATTATTATTTTTACTTAATTATATTTTTCGACATAATACTGCATTACCAGTTTTTGAGATCAGCATCTAAGATAGATTCAATTTACAGTTGTGATTTATTGTAATCTGATTGAAAAGGCCATGTGGAGCACATGCTTCTGAAGGTGTTAAGTAATCATGTTGCGGATTATTGTGCCTGGGCTTGTCGTGTTATGATGCTCACACTTAATGGTAAACAACATCAAGATGCACGATGCGTGTATGCATGTTGAACTTCTTCCGCACTCTACGTAGCCAACCGTGCCATTCAAAAGAAATTCTTTTCAATCGAGATGATTTAAAAGTGCATCGCTCCAAGTGGCTTCGGAATATCGGAAGGAAGAGAGTTCCAGACGGCTACAGAAGTGCATCTGAAAGTGCGATGGCTAGCCAAGAGTCGCTGCTGCGAGGATAACCGCAGTTTGCGTGATGGTTTATGATCCTTGTATACAAGGTGGGGTTTTTAATTCGTTTGGCTACTTGCTCTGACCATGTTTTGTTGTTATCAAACTCCAGACCATGGATCCCCTCCGTCCCATCGCTGTCATTTTCATCATTCAGCAGATGATCTCTGTGTGCAGCTGTTCATTGCCAATTAGTTTACCCCAAGGTGTGCTAAGGCAAACGGAATCTTAGAACACACCCATAATCCTTTGCAAGCTCCAATCAATGTAACGCTCACGCAAGCGCACAGCAGCCTGATCCAGCTGCAAGCTCAGATGCAAAAAGTATTGGCCAGCAGCAGAGAAGCAAGGCAACTGCAGTCATTAGCGCAGTGCAATCTTCTTCTCATTTACTAATCCACTGCTGGATGAGAGCTTCCCGATGCTGTGCGGGTCGCGGGGGGCTATTTGACCGAATTTCACCACGCTGGTCAGTGCAGCTTGGTGAGGTAGGTGGGGGCATATACATGGGAGCAAAGTAGGGTACGATACAGCAGAACCCCTCTTAACGAC